TAGCTAGCACAGACTGAAAAAGAAGAGGCACGAGCTTCTGCTTTTTGGCAACTTGCAAGTGGGTGCGCTCCATAATTGCTCTGATGTGAGCGGCCTGCAAACGTGCCGATGGGGAGGGGTCTGAGTTGATTTTGGACCCCCACAACCCTTTGTAGGAGAGTGGCAGCCTGGGCCATGAGAGGTGCCTCTCCCAAGGCGGAAGGCCATGGGATAGAGGCAGCTTTTTGCCTCGATAGGTCCTCGCAGCACAGAGCTAGTAATGGTACCTAGAGGCAGGGTACAATTCCATAGAGTCCATTGCCCAAAGCAGCCATTTTCTCCAGGAGAACTGATCTTGGAGATCTCCAGGTGGTGCCTGGAGGCTGGCATTACTAAGTGGAGGGTCAGACTCTGAGTGAACCTGGGACTATGGACGGGGACTTTACCCTGAGTTATGTATGTTTTCTGTGATGAGGAAGCTCTAGGCCTCATCTCCCTGTAGCACTTTAAAACAAAAGCCAGTATAGAATTCTCTCAGTCTCTCTTTAAGATTTATGGGTCAAATGCTCTTTTGGAGTGTGCCACTAGAGAAGTTGTTTCTTACATTCTTTGCATGGTCTGAGTGAAAATGGCAAATAAAAAAGCACCAACTCCACTTGCCCACATTCTCGTATGGAACAGGTTTTAAAACTACAAATCTTGCTACTAAAGGGGGAAAAAATGATATTTATTTAATCAGGCCTCAGAAAACAAGCTGGAATGTAATCAAGCATTTTATCACATCTCTTCATTAAAATAGCATTTAAAATAGCATTTCAGATAACTGAATATTGTGAACTTCTACTGTCCCCTAGTGGAAGACTGTTGTATTTCAAAAGGAAAGAATAGGAACAAAGGTTAACTATTATTGTGGTGGTGGGATAATTGAGGACTGGAATCATGCTGTGAGTATCCTCCATAGGCCCCATGGGTCCAAAAGGCCAACTTCTCAGTCCAAGAAGTCCTTGGTCTCCGCTCTGTGTTTGAGGAAAGGAAGGAGGGGTGTGAGCTTGAGCCTGAAAATAAACCTTGTTTGTTTTCTTCAGGAATAAACTTAGTCTTGTTCATATCTGAATGCAGCCTAATAAGTGAGTCATAATCATGGAGTTCTTATGAGTCATGTCAGTGCTGCTCTGGATTTGTAAGTACATTTGCTTTTCTTTCTTCTTAAGTAGTACTTAGGATTGTACAACTATGTTAATTATGACTCGGCAATAAAAGTCATCCAGTTCCATCAAGACAGAAGTTGTAATGAAGTTTGATTGCAAGCAGCTCAGTTAATAGGCTCAGTAGACTAATGATGCCTTCCAAGCAGAAGAAGCATATAGATAATCAGCAGGTTTCTGGTTATCGGAAGTCATACAAATGTAGGATTGCCAGGCTGAGCCTAGCAACCAGCAGGAGACCAGAGAAGTGGGGACATGGGGTGGAAATATGTTAGCCAAATTGCCTTATTTCTTAATAAAGAGTGGGGAATTACAATATTAAATGGCAATGGCTTAAATAAAGGGACCAATAACCTATTTATACTGGAGTCCAATTAACCAGATCCCCAGAATTAGACAGGGAGACTAGATAAAATGGTTTCTTTACTGAATAATTTCACACACACATACAATAAAACAATCATACACTCAAACAATACAGAGCTAGGAATTTAGATAGAAAGGTACAGAGACTGTCGCATTAGCAGGAAAATATCGATGAGAGGTGATACTTTACCAGTCTGACACGGCAAGTTGATTCTGCAGTGAAAAATTGGGAAAATACTAGGGAAGGGGTCGTGTGTTGGCCAGCAGCACACATGGTAGGCTCTGGGCAGTGCTAGGACTAGAGTCAGCAAGGAAGGTGGAGTTAGGTAGGTGGAAGGGAAGAGAGAGAACAATGGGTAGATATATACCCTAGAAGTGGCTTGGGGCGTGTGCCACCAAGTCACATGGTCCCCAGGAAGGTGCTAGAGGCTGCCAGTTCCTTAATGAGGTCAAAATAATGGAATTAAGTGTTGGGCAATTGATTTAATGTTTACTAACAATGACACCACTCAGAGTGAAGGGCTAAAGACAAAGGAGAAGAAAAGACAGTCATTCAAGGTGCTTGGCCAATAGTTAAGAGTCAATGACCCAGTGATCTGCATCTGGATGGGCAGTGGGTGTGCTTGGCAGCTCAGTTAATCTCATCATGGTCAAGTTCTATTGTTTTACTTGAGGATGAGTTCCGGGTGAAGCTGCTAGAAGGGGGGGGGGAATGCCTGCATGATGGAGAAGAGGCTTGTCCATGGTGTTTGTGCAGAAATGTCCAGGGTGCTTCTGCAAAGCATGGCTTCTCTGGATGTCTGACTGCTGGCTTCATGTGGCTGTGATGGCAGGTAGGCTAGCATGCCATCTACCTGGGTTTGCAGTATCTTTGGAGATGCAGGGATGGATGGCATCGGGTGTTCCATGGGTCCACATCTGGTTTAACATGCTGCTTCAGTGCAAGGATTTCCTTGACTGGGCATATGTCCTCTGTCCAGTAAGTTGTCTCCTTCTCATGGTCAACATTCAGTCCATTTTTCCTGGCACACTCATTGTACAGTCCAGCTTAGAGTCATATTTCATGTCCATACTTTATAAGATGCTTGCAGGGCAACAAGGGGCAGTCAGCAACAGCATGACATCAATTCTGTGAAATTCTGGGAGGATTCAGAAGCTAGAATTAAGATTGCTGGGGAAAACATCAACAACCTCAGATATGCAGATGATACCACTGTAATGGCAGAAAGTGAAGAGGACCTAAAGAGCCTCTTGCTAGGAGTAAAAGAGGAGAGCACAGAGGTTGGCTTGAAACTCAACATAAAAAATCAGATCATGGCATCCAGCACCATCACTCCTTGGCAAATAGAAGGAGAAGTCATGGAAGCAGTGACAGACTTCATGTTCCTGGGATCCAAGACCACTGCAGACGGTGACTGCAGCCATGAAATTAAAAGATGCCTGCTCTTTGGGAGGGAAACGATGGTAAACCTAGACAGCATATTAAAAAGTAGAGACATCACCCTGCCAACAAAAGTCCATATGGTCAAAACAATGGTATTCCCAGTAGTACTGTATGGCTGAGAGAGTTGGACTATGGTGCTGGAGAAGACTCTTGAGGGTCCCCTGGACTGCAAGGAGATCAAATCAGTCAATCCTAAAAGAAATCAACCCTGACTGTTCCCTGGAAGGCCAGATACTGAAGCTGAAGCTCAAATACTTTGGCCACCAAATGAAAAGGGAGCACTCACTGGAGAAGATCCTGATGCTGGGAAAGACTGAAGGTCAAAGAAGAAGGGGACAGCAAAGGATGAGATGGTTAGACAGTGTTATCGAGGCAATGAACATGAAATTAAGCAAACTCCGGAGCATGACAGGAGGGCCTGGTGTGATGTGGTCCGTGGGGTCACGAAGAGTTGGAGTCGACTGTGTGACTGAACAACAACTTACACTCTCAAGGAATTTTGGCCCTTCCTATAGAAGAAGAAGAGATTGGATTTATACCCCACCCTTCACTTGGAGTCTCAGAGCGGCTTACAAACTCCTTTCCCTTCCCCTCCCCACAACAGACACCCTGTGAGGTGGGTTAGAGGATTAGTGTCAATTTTGGGTTTTCCCAGAACTGATAACAATGCTCTTTAGGAATCACAGAAAACTCTTTGGTTTTACCATAGAGTTTCTGGCAATTTCTAGAAAGGTGTGATGCCACTTCTGGTTTTTCCCCCAGAAGTGACATCATGCCATCATTTATGGTGCTTTTTAGATTTTTTGTAACTTCTGCCAGCCATTGGATCTCTAATTGATCTCTATGATTCATATTCAGAAATATTATTCAGACTGGTTTCTGTGTTTGAGAGTCCACAGAGACTTTTCTTGCATTGACTATTTAAGGCAATTCAGAATCTGCAGGAAATAGATTATGACTAGGGTTGATTTTTCTAATAATGTCCTTGGGAATGTTTTTACAAATCATAAGCTGGAAAAGCACAGTTATTTGATGCTTACTGTACTCTGCAGGTTGGATGCCATCTAAATTCAATGCATAGAAGTGTGCGTCTCCCTGCTGCAGCTTGATATGAACCTCCCCTGGGCTGCTTCTGGCAGTGGGTAATCCCAAGAGTGGAGGGGGGGTGTCAAAGGCTGCCAAAGCAGAGGGGCGAAATGGTAGAAATCACAGCTCCCCTTGCACAATGGTTTGTTTTCATGTGATCCAATCCAGTGAAACCAGATTAGTAGTAATATGTCTCAAATCATTTCAAATCATTCTGAAACTGCTGCATTGTTAAACTGTAAGGTTGCAATCCTGTACACACTTGCATTTACTTTTGAGTGTAAAGGAGTTATCAGTACAAATTAATCAGTTATATTATTGTTGGCAAGAATAAGAGAATTCACATTAATGAGGTAATTGTATTCAAGCAGCATGGGTCATTTAGGATAGATTCTGTAACTTGTAGACCTGTCAAGAAAACTGTTATTGTAACAGTTATAAAACACTGGAAAGCGTCAACAAGCATGAAGAACAAGCCTTGCTGAGAACCAATCAACACAACTTCTTCAAATATAAGTCTTGCCTCATCAAATTTTTATATTTATTGCAAGTGTCAATAAAGAAGATCATAGGGTAATCTGGTAGACATTATGCTTGTTACGATGGAGGAAAGTTATCACTGTGGTCTCCAAAGGCTGTTTTTTGGGACTCATGCTGTTTAACATACTCACCCATACCAGGAAATCATATATCTAGTTTCCTCACCTCTTGTTGTAAAGTTTAGCTAGGCAAAACATTAAGTGACCTCACGGAGACTCTCAGTCCACATGGGGTCTCCTATAGAGGCTTGCAAAAGACTTGTATTTATCAGAATAATTTGCATACGCATACTGGTGAAAGCCAGTGTGATATTGCTGACTAACTATCAGACTTGGTAGTGCTGACCTGGTTTGAAGATACAATGGAAATTAGAGATATTGTTAATTTACTTGCCTAGGATAGGTGTTCACTTCAGACAAAAGCCTCCATTTCTGCTGCCGAAGAAAAGAACTAGGATGCCTGACATGACTGTTCTGTTCCAGACAATGTTTACCATCTTTCAGAATACCCATCTCAATTTCTTCAGTATAAGCAAGCAGATCTATAACATTACACTCTTCATTGAGTCTCAGTGAAGATGTGTCTTCAGATCGTTCTTGATAAGTGATAGTTTGGATAATTCCTGTTAACTTTCTACCACACAGACAGTTGTGGAAGTTGGTTAGAATTCCTTCTGGATAACTGACCTCAGAGACAACAGGGAAGCTTGCAGTCACAAAGGCTAAGCAGGGCTGACTATCAGGACATGATTCTGCCTTTCCCACACAGTCTGCCTTCAGCGCATAGCAGACTTCTAGTAAGATGCAACCAGTTCTTTTTCTAGAAAAAAAATGCTTCCTTGATGCTAACAAGATCAGTCCTGACATTCTCCTCACAAGCTGGGAAATCATTTTGGAGACCAATGAGGGTGAGCTATAGTCCAACAGAAGATTGTTGTTGTTGTTCAGTCACACAGTCGAGTCCGACTCTTCGCGACCCCATGGACTAGATCACGCCAGGCCTTCCGGTCTTCCGCCGTCCTCTGAAGTTTGCTCAACTTCATGTTCGTTGCATCTATGACACTGTCTAACCATCTCATCCTTTGCCGTCCCCGTCTTCTTTGACCTTCAAAACAGAAGATTCCCAAACCTTTAAAAAACATTCACCAAGAAAAGTATTCAAACATTACATTTTCCCAGAAGGGGTGGGGTGGGGGAACATGCATGAAGGGGGATTGGGATAACAATGGAAATGCTCGTATAGTAATAAAAGGGAGAAAAGCCAAAAATAAGAGATCTGAGATTTAAAATTAGTTGTTTATAATGGATATTTCAGTTATGACCTAGCACTTGTTTGATTAATGTTCAAATCAATCCAGTTCTACTAAATTCCGATAGAATTGCATGCTTGATTAGGCAGATGGCTGCTGGCATGGTGGCAGCCTATATTTAACCCAGGCTTGGACATCAAATGGGATAAAGGAACACATCTGACTGATGGGAAACCTTGCAATATGCTTTTTCCCAGCCTCAGGACAGAAAAGGAGGAGGAGGAGAGGGGGGGGGGAGAGAGAGAGAGAGAGAGAGAGAGAGAGAGAGAGAGAGAGAGAGAGGGGCTGTTGTCTGCCCTTCATTCTATTTTGCATGTTATTTTCTAGGATGGCTAATGTGTAGTTGTTTGGTTTTAAGCCAAAGATCTTTAATGACCCCACTTGTCCAGGACACCTGGCTTTGACATCCCTCTTAATAAGGTGTAGTTGAGGTAAAAAGCCTAGGCGGAAAGGTGAATAGCAAAGTACTTGGTTGTGATTCAGGCATTAACATTGCACTCATAAGAACAGAAGGTGGCCTTAAGCTGAAAACTGTTTTGCATGGCTTCCTATGAAAATACTTCATTAACCCTATCGGTAACACTAATTTGTGGGTATTTTTATTATATTTGTGCCTTGTGTCAACTAATTATGCTACAAGTAAGCACCACTACAAATAAGTCAGATATAAACGTTTCAAAGTTAAGACGTAGGACAATATCCTGCTACTCCATCTGCAGAAGGTGCAGTTTTCCCATGTTGTTCGGAATTACTGCAGCTTTCTAATTCCTGGAAAGAACACCCCAGAGTTGCAGGACCTACAGGGAGAAACACCCACATGGACTGGGGGGAAGCTAGAGTGAAGGATAAGCCGCTAAAATCCTTCATCTTCCACAAGCACAGTTATGCCAAGATGAGAAAACAATTTCATCACAGTGTCCATCCAGTTACTCTCACAGCTTTTCCTCTACATAGATGCTTCTACCCCAGAAATGATTTTTTCCCCCAGTGGTCAGAAAGAGCTGTAGCAATGCAGGGGAACATGAAAAAAACTCTGTGTCTTCTGCATATGAATGGTAGGCATCAGTAAGACAGTCTGGCCAACAACTCTAAAAGAAGCCATGTCACTTATACAACGAACAGATGGTCAAATACAGACGAGTTTTTTAAAAAGTTCATATCCATTGCCTGTGATAAAATCCAATTGATTCTACTGTGAAACAACATATTTTTAAGCATTACAAGAATGTCCCCTTTATCTTATTCCAAATGACTCAAAAGTCCTAACTAGAACTAAGCAGAATTTTTGTCCATGGAAAGAGGCTAACTGAAAGGGGAAGGTTTGGAGGATGACATTTTCATTAATTTTTCTGTTTATGTTTTCCATGCAAAATTTGCTGCTTCTTTCTCCAATCTGCATTTTCAGTGCCATTAAAAATCAATTTTTTTTAAAAAATGAGCTTTCTTGTCAAGTGACCTGAGCCAATCAGGAATTATGTAGGCAACATCTGCCGTTACATCATACAGCCAATAAAAACTTGACTATATGCAACATCATGATATCAGAGTCTGGGGAGGAAGCATTACCCTCACACCGAAGGGGTTCCTCTTAACCCCACATAATTAATCACAGTTCATTATAGGGTGATGTCACTATACCAAATCACAATGATCTGGCCAGGAATTTTGCTACATTTCACTAAATTTCCTCACCTAAGTAATTGGCAAAAGGCAATTTTCATAAAATATAAACTCCTGGTTCTATTTCACCTCCAATAGAAATGGTCTAGATCCATTGTGTGTGGCCCATATAGTGCTATGCCAATGAGTTTAAACTTTTGAGTTCTCAAACATTTGCACATTTTTCAGCCATTTGGAAAAAGAGGAACAACGGTGTTCTTTAGGAGGCATAAGTGTTTGATTCAGAGATGAGGAACAGAGCTGTACAGATTTTGGGGGCAATGCTATCCATTAATGGAAAATGTTTCTTTAGTTAGGAAACATACTGGAAAATTCTCAGGACAAAAGATTCATAATTAATTAACAGTCCTTCTGGATGCTTCCTAATGAAGTTGAGCCAGATCTGTGCTTGAATTTTGCAGAGCTGCATTGGCATTATGTCCACCTGTCCATTCTAAACTGGATTGAGACCCCTAGTTCACTTCTCATAGACTAATACATTAATAGATGGTAACAAAAAACAGATGGTAGATGCTGATCTGGATTTAAACCTGTAATTCGGAGGAGAAAGGAGCCATATGCTGAATTTAATCCCCAGAAGCATCAGGAACATTAGCACACCTATTTCATTATGAGTTAATTCCTCTGCCTTTTCTTAGTTCATATATAGGGCTTGCCACTTGTTTTCAGTACAATGCACATGAAGGAATTAAAAAGTTCCTTCATTCATTGGGTGGCCTCTGTAAATGGAGACTGTCATATTGCCAAGTAATGAAGGTTGCCACCTGTTCATAATTCTTATGGACTGTTAGTATTTGGGGAGCTCTGTCCATAAGTTCCTGTCTATATTTTTCTGTCCAGAAGTTTTCTGTTCATATTTTCTATGAAAGAGGCAAAATTGTGCATTTGCTATGTTTTCTAGGTAAGGAAGATCCTGAAGGAGGGACTGTACAGACCATTACGCATTAGTAACTTGCTTTCCAGCTCCATATTTAATAATTAAAATCATATTACTCAGCAGCTAATGTTCCCTATGCCCCCCTTAATGCCATGCTAATTTTGCCCAATCATCACACCAGTAACTGGCTGCATTGGCCATAGTTTGCCACTTGGGTATTCTTCTGAAAGTCTCCTCAAAATTTCTCTCTTAATTTTTGAGTTCTGAATTCCCTTCTCTGGAAAATGATCAGTTTCCGAGTTTCAAGCTATCAGTCAAAAAGAAAAATGTGGTGTAACAAGTAGAAAAAATTGAGCTATGGAAAAATCTTTCCAAACTTACTGAGCTGAACAGGAGGCATACTGAAATAACAAGCATATGGTTAATAGCTTAACATTATGGAGAAAAGATCCTTACCATCTGTTCATGTATCATAATGTGCTCAGCAGCCAAAACCTTTCTTGCATAAATAAATAAATAAATAAATTTGATGCTGCCCTCAGGCTTCTAAAAGCTATTTATTAGAGCATTCACTAGAACACTGAGCTTCTGGTCTGGGACCTATTAATACTGTAGAAAATTCCTAAAGTTCATAGCATTAAAACTACTTACTCACTTTTACCAATATCTGAGATAAACCAAACACCATCAGAAGCATTCACACTTTCGTGAACATGTTTTGGACTAGTATGGGCCAAACTACATGTTATAAGGCTAGTTCTGGGACTGGATCTCCTAATGTTTTCTTTTTTAATTAACTGCAGTTAACCATTCCAGGGGCATTTTTAATTAGCAAAACTGTGAAACATAGGATTAAAGCCACTCTCCTCTCCCTCATGGTTCCAGTGTAAATTGGAACCCCACACAGCTATGCCTGAGCTTTTAAAGATTAATTGATATTTGTGATTTCTGTCTAGATTATCACTTTATAGGAGATATGTGGTTCCCAATGAAATCAGCAGACCTTTCTACTGCCTTTGTCCTCTCTCCAATAACATTTGTCTATTAACACAAAGCATGTGATTTGATAGTACCACACTATGAATTTCTTCAGCCTTGCCAGTGGCAGCTATTGAAGTGGAGCTGGAGCAGGGAAATTTTGGATTTATGGTGACATCACATTTCTTGTTTTCCATTAGTAGATGTCAGTAGAAGACAGAAGGGACATCTGGGACTTTTGCTGGCAACCATCTAATTCCAGCCTTCTTGGGTTTAGGAAATACAAGTGGGGGACTCATGGGGGGAATATCACTTCCTTCTGCCTTAAGCTGTCTCTACTGTCTCTCCTTCCCTTTCCCTCACAGTCCCTTCAGTGTCTCCCCTTTCTTGCTTTCTTCTCTCTCTCTAGCCACTTTATACCCCTTTTGCTCCATTTTTCTTTCCTCCCTCCCTCTACTGTAACATTATTTTCCTCCTATCTTCCTTCTTGTATTTCATCCCTCTTTATTCCTTCTCTTCCCCACCCCTGCTCACCTAAGATTTTGAAATGAAAGGCAGCAGCCATTTTGGATTACCTAGTTAACCACAGAGAACACTGGATATGTTGTATACAGGCCCCATTCACACAGAGCATTTGCCATGCTAAAGAGATGGATAATAGGCGGATTTTCTGGGCGTGATCACATCGCAACATCTAGGAAGCATAGTGCTCCCGTGGCTAACCTGTGGCTTCCCGCCAACGATGTGCGTTAAAAAAACTAGTACCTCCAAGGTACTAGTAAACATTCG